AATATTTCTGTTAAACCATGACAAATTAAATATAGATTTTTAATAATTTACCATTACATTTGTAACTAATACAGTTCTGAATTTAACCTCATCACATCATTATGAAACTAATACATATTTCCACTATTCCTGATATTTTGTGAGTATTATAAATGAGGGCTTGTTTTAGTTACAACCATCATGCATCAGTAGAAACATATTATTAATCAATATGAATCAGCTGTTTAGCTTCTCAAAGTAAAAGTAACTTAATAAATATTTTAAAATTATACATAATGCATTAGACTTTCTTAAAAAAAAATAAAAAATGATGGCCTTTGCTTATTTCTACCACAAGATGGCAGTGTTTAGACTTTATAAGTGTTTTAAAGGTACAATATGTAAGAATTTTGTAATAAAATATCCAAAAATCACTTGCGCAGTGTGATATATTTCCTGCAGTTGTGTACTTACAATATCCCAAAAGTCTCCAAAGATTTTTTATTTCAGAGAAATTCCAATGTTAAATAAGTGGCCGTCCCGGAAAAAAATGTCGCCTGTCAATGATGCAATATCCGCGCTATCCTCGGTTTCCGCTCATACCGCCATAGCCATGACGTAACCATGGCGACAGACGTGGACAACTGCTAGTGCGTAACGTTTAGCGGCACGCAGTTCTCGTTTCTTTCAAACATAGACCATGGCAAGCAGACTTTGGGACAAACAAGAAGAACTAAAATGAGGATCAATATCAGCGTGGCGTTTTTGAGATGCCGAGAGCTAGCGTCCGCGGCTAACTCGGACTCGACAGAGCTTCACGAGTCACGACAGCTTTATTAGACAGGTGAGCAAATGTACATAAAACAAATCAATGTTATATAACGTTTGCTCAACATGATGAAATGTTAGAATATGGTCAGTGTGTTATTCTAATGTTGATCTAGCTGCTAGTTTCGTATAGCAAACGAACTAACACGTAGTATAACATTATAAATTTCAACACACATTTAAATCCCGTTTAGTGTGATAGTGTAACGTTAGACCAAGTGAAGCAGCGCTGCGTTCCCTCACTAGTTTAATTCGTCTAATAAACTGACCTGTGTGAGTAATCCAGCACTTGCGGGTAGTTCGGTAGAATTAAATGTCCTTATTCCTTTATATCCGCGGGACTCGCGTGTGATATCTGTCTCTTTAGCAATCGCGACCTGCTTCATACCTCTGTAATGTTAAAAAACATGAGTGTTTGCACTCATCCATAAACATTATTAGATCCATCAGCAAGTCCCATCATTCAGCTCATCACTGCGTCATCAACCTACGCCTGTGTTATTGTTGGAAACTGCGCCCTCTTGTGGCGAAAAAACGTACATATTGTGCCTTTAATTCCCTCCAAAACTACTAAATTTGCACAAATTGCTCTACTTGAACATCAAAATGACGTTTAATTCATCAAAAACATTAGTCTGCTGATCATTGGCCACAAATGACTAAAGTATTGAGCGACTAAAGCAACTCAATCCATGTCCAAACTCGCAGCTTATGGAAAACTCACTCATCACGCGTTTGGTTTTGGAAGTAAAACAGTTTCAGTCGAGCCGCAGAGAACTGGCATTTCCATGAACATTCACATACTTTAATTTCCCACATTATAGCAATACTTAAAAACTCTTTTCACATTTGATTATTATTATTTTTTTTTTCAGATATTTCTCAACACTTTCAATAAATACATGTCTGGTACAATATCTTGGAATTGAAAAGAGATGGAGACAAAGTGAGAAAGTTGCGCAGCCCTATAATGTGTGTCAGCAGCTCGAGGAAAACACCACGTAAAGCCCAACACAAATGCACTTGCGATTAAGAAGGTCAAAGATACAGCGGCACTAGTGGAAATACTGTCAACAACACACACACACACACACACCAGAACAACACTGCTGGAGCTCAGAAAACACAATATCAAAGAATACAATCAGAGTCTGCGGGTTTCTCTCTTTAAGGCGGTGGGCGAGAAACACACGATGATGACGAGGTTAATCTGAACGTCTCAAACAACGGGGCGAATTCACTAACGCTTCATTACACACACTTTAATCTACTGAACATTTCACTCATGTTCACATTAAGCTATGACAACATTATTTCCAAAAGTTCTCAGTAAGGTTTACAGTCAAACCAGAATGTATTCAAACACGTCTCTCACATTATCACAGTTTATGCGCTATAGTTTAGAAAAGGGTAATTAGGGTAAGGGTAAATTACTATGAACTATAGTGTCCTGCACACACTAGTTAAAACATATCAAAAATGATATCTGGTGTCTGAATAATATTTGGTTTGACTGTAACTGTATATTTTTAGAAAATGTACAGGTGAAACTCTTAGAATATCGTACAACAGTTCATGTATTTCAGTAATTCAAATTAAAAGGTGAAACTTGTATATTTAGTATATAACTAGCATGATCATACTTTTCAGAGGGCCGACATTTCTGTATTTAAAATCATTTTTTAAATTGATTTTATATAATATTCAAATTTTCTGAGATTTTGAATTTGGGGTTTGCATAAGCTATAAACCATAATCATCAAAATGATCACTTTTGCACAATATTCTAGTTTTTCGAGTTTCACGTGTATGTTGTGGCGACCGTTGTAGATGAACCCACAAGTCTGCTCATGTTTCCTTGCAAATATTGAAATATAAGGAAGTTACCTTTAAAAATCCTAATCGCTTCCTCGTCTAGTGTTGGTTTTGTCAGCACTGTAATAACTATGGTATGCATTGAAACCAAGAGAGATTATCGCGTATAAAGTCTTACATATTCTGTGGTGAGTTTCTTATATGTACACTCGAGTAAAACACCAGACGCAAGTCATTTTTGGTCCTGAATGTTACTGGTATGAAGAATATTTGTGTATACTATATCACAGTTTACTTTATTTTGCTCTCCTCACTCATATAAATGAACTGTAGTGTCCTGCAAACACTCTATCTGGTGTCTGAATCATTCTTGGTTCGACTGTATGTGAACGTTACGCGAACATTCCATTTCATCACTCTTCAAACAGAATGTAAAGTTACTTTTGAATGTTTGCTGAACATTCCGAAACACGTCGTTACATTTAAAAACCGTTTGATGAACGACCAACTGAAACATTTCAGAGAGAAAAACATTCCGTGAATGATGTATAAATAACGTTTCGAGAACATTAGATAAACGTTCTGTCACCAGTGAGCTGGAAAACTGATTTAATAACTATATATAGCTTTAATACGTAACTGATGCGCTGCTTATTAACGCTCAGATGGAGACGCTCTTCATAAGCGGCCGGTTGGATGCTTTATTGTCCCTGTAAAGAACATTATAAAGAATGTATAAGCAGAAACTACACCGACAAACGGTGTCAGAGTTCTCTAGCACTGAAAGAAATACAGATGTGAGTGTAAACTGTGTTCACTCGTTGTTTGGCTTCATTTATGTGGCGTTCCCTGATTACGTTATCCTCATGTTGTGTTCCCGACCTGGAGAGGATATTCACTAGCACTTTATTTTACAGTACAGTGTACTTACAGTATTAAGAAAGTACTGGTAATATACAGTGCGTGCAGAATTATTAGGCAAGTAGATTTTTTTCAGACACATTTTACCAATTCCAAACCACATTAATAACTACTATTACTTTTGTATTTCATCGTACATTCATCACCAATGAGCATTTCACTGTCCAATGTAATTTCTAGTATTGCATCCTTCTCATGGGCATTTAATAATTAATTAGTTAAATCTCTTTTTTGGCTCATTTTATCTGTAAAAGAAAACGTGCCTATTAATTATGCACACCTGAATATAAGGTGTTTTATTATTATTATTTAATTATATATCACTTATACATGATCAAATACAAAATTAATAGTAGTTATTAAGATTAATGTGGTTTGGAATTGGTGAAATGTGCCTGGAAAAAAATATGATCAGAAAATCAACTTGCCTAATAATTCTGTAAGTTGCACTTTATATTACAGTACTAAGAAAGTACTGGTAATATAAGGTAACTACATGGGTCAAGGTTAGGATTAGGACCAGGTTAAGTTATTATTACTAATACCCAGTTATTGTAATAACTATACATAGTATGTACATGAGGAACAGGACTGTAACATAAGGTGCTACCGGATTTTCTTTTCCCCAAAAATGCTAGTTCATATTATTATAGCATTGGGCTAATACGTACTGATAAAACAACTTCCTAAATTTGTTTTTGATCATTTTTCTAACCTTGTTACACGTGTGGTGTTCTGGACAGGCCTACACACATGCTTATGAATCTGTCATTATATTCTGTTATTGTCGAATCCTGGATTCCCCTGTTTGTGTTTTGCTTCTGGAACTGGTCGATCTGAACGTGTTTCACTCAGACTGAAGAGCATCAGCTGAGCTTTAAAGCCCTTAAACCTGAGCTGACTGAGAGAAAAAGATCGAGTCCAATATTGTTAATAACGAGAGATTTACAAGCAAGATAAAGCACAAGGGTTAATTAACCACTAAACGACGTCAGCCACTGATTCCCAGTGAATTCGCCCAGTTATTCCCATTAATATCACTGCAAAACATGCTTTTTTTACTTAGTATTTTGTCTTGTTTCCAATACAAATATCTCAAGATTCTTAAATCAAGATGCATTTACTAGATGAGTAAAATGAGATATTATGTCTTGTTTTCTGGGAAAATAAATCAAAATTAAGTAGTTGTTGCTTAAAAAAAGCAAAATTATCTGCCAATGCGGTAAAAAAATAAAAAGATGTTTCTGTTTGAATTAAGATTATTTTTCTTACCCCGTTGGCAGATCATTTAGCTTTTTTTAAGCAACAACTCACTTCATTTTGATTTATTTCCCCATAAACAAGACATAATATCATATGGCATTTTACTCATCTAGTAAATGCATCTTGATTTAAGAATCTTGAGATGTTTGGACTGGAAACGAGACAAATACACTGAGTCAGAAGAGCATGTTGGCTGTAAAGCACCGAGGCGTATACTGAGATGGCACTTGTGTTCTTCATGTTTCTGTGGATCTGGTGAGCGAGTCTGTTTGCGCTAGCCTTGGTTCGGGGAGTCGGGGTCCGGGTCGGGGTCGGGGTCGTCTGACGGGAGCTTCACGCGCTGCTCGTCCATGCGCTTGGCCTGGACTCTCTGAATGAGGCTGAAGAAGTCCTCGTCGGGGACGGTCGGGGCCCGCGGACCCCCTTCAGGAGGAGAGCAGCGCTGGTCGTCGATCCGGGACGACTGAGCGGAGAAACAGCAGAGAAACACACGCTCACATAAACAGAACCAGGGAACCGGCCACTGGTACATGTGTGTGTATTTATATATACAAAATAATTATACATAGTACATACACATATATTATGTAAACACATGCAAACTTTTATTTTGGATGCGATTAAACGCAATTAATCGTTTGACAGCCCTACTAGATTTCTAATTTTGGTTCAAGTTTTTCATCTAATATTTATATTTGGTTTCAGCTTTATTTCAACAATCTCCAGACCAGTAGTTTTAGTTGACAACAACAACACTGATAACACAGAAACGCAGCGCTAGGGCTCTGCTCAGGCTCGGACTCAGGCTTAGGCTCAGGCTCAGGCTCAGGCTCAGGCTTAGACTCGGGCTCAGGCTTAGGCTCAGGCTCGGGCTCAGGCTCGGACTCAGGCTTAGGCTCAGGCTCGGACTCGGGCTTAGGCTCTGACTCGGGCTTAGGCTCGGACTTGGGCTCAGGCTTAAGCTCGGGCTCAGGCTCATGCTTAGGCTCGGGCTCAGGCTTAGGCTCGGGCTCAGGCTTAGGCTCGGACTCAGGCTTAGGCTCGGGCTTAGGCTCTGACTCGGGCTTAGGCTCGGACTTGGGCTCGGGCTCAGGCTTAAGCTCGGGCTCAGGCTTAGGCTTAGGCTCGGGCTCGGGCTTGGGCTCGGGCTTGGGCTCAGGCTTAGACTCGGGCTCAGGCTTAGGCTCGGGCTCAGGCTTAGGCTCGGGCTCAGGCTCAGGCTCGGACTTGGGCCTGGCCTCAGGCTTAAGCTCGGGCTCAGGCTCATGCTTAGGCTCGGGCTCAGGCTTAGGCTCGGGCTCAGGCTTAGGCTCGGACTCGGGCTTAGGCTCGGACTCGGGCTCAGGCTTAAACTCGGGCTCAGGCTCATGCTTAGGCTCGGGCTCAGGCTTAGGCTCGGACTCGACTCGGGCTCGGGCTTGGGCTCAGGCTTAGACTCGGCTCAGGCTTAGGCTCGGACTCGGCTCAGGCTTAGGCTCGGGCTCAGGCTCGGGCTTAGGCTCGGCTCAGGCTTAGGCTCGGACTCGGGCTTAGGCTCTGACTCGGGCTTAGGCTCGGCCTCGGACTTGGGCTCAGGCTTAGGCTCGGGCTCAGGCTTAGGCTCGGACTCGGCTCAGGCTCGGGCTCGGGCTTAGGCTCGGCTCAGGCTTAGGCTCGGACTCGGGCTTAGGCTCTGACTCGGGCTTAGGCTCGGCCTCGGACTTGGGCTCAGGCTTAGGCTCGGGCTCAGGCTTAGGCTCGGACTCGGCTCAGGCTCGGGCTTGGGCTCAGGCTTAGACTCGGCTCAGGCTTAGGCTCGGGCTCAGGCTTAGGCTCGGGCTTAGGCTCGGCCTTGGGCTCGGGCTCAGGCTTAAGCTCGGGCTCAGGCTTAGGCTCGGACTCGGCTCAGGCTTAGGCTCGGACTCGGCTCGGCTTAGGCTCGGACTCGGCTCGGGCTCGGCTTAGGCTCGGGCTCTGGCTCGGACTCGGCTCGGCTTAGGCTCGGGCTTAGGCTCGGACTCGGCTCGGCTTAGGCTCTGGCTCGGCTCGGCTTAGGCTCGGGCTCGGACTCGGCTCGGCTTAGGCTCGGGCTTAGGCTCGGACTCGGCTCGGGCTCAGGCTCAGGCTCGGGCTCAGGCTCGGCTCGGACTCGGCTCAGCTCTCACCTGGCACTTGATGAGCATGTTGAAGAAGTCGTCGCTGGGCTCGGTAGACTCGCTCTCTCCACAAAGGTGCCCCAGGTTGTTGTGGGTAATCCTGAGTCCGGGCAGATTACTGACGCTCACTCTCTGATCGTCCAGGCGTCGGCTCTGAGAGCTGGCGATCAGATCGAAGAGCTCTTCAGTTTGAGGAGAGGAGAGAAGACTGGCGTCTGAGAAACACACACAGAAACCGTGATATTAATGTGTCTTACACTGCAGCTGATGCAAATAATGTATAATGTGTCGGCCCAGATCCGGCCCACATCCGGTACACATGGATTCCACACGGCCCAGATGTGGGCCGGATCTGGGCCGACACTATGTTGCTGTCTGGGGCATAGTAAGTATAAAAAATAAATAAAATATGACCTTTGCAGTAACACTTTACAATAAGGTTCCATGTGTTGCTGTTAATGAACAAATGTATTGCTTATTGTTAGTCAATGCATAACAATGTTTCTTAATAATAATAGTGCTGGGCAACGATTAATCGCATCCATAATAAAAGTTTGTGTTTACATAATATATGTGTGTGTATAATTATTTTGTATATATAAATACACACATATGCATGTTTATACTGTATATATATTTATACATAATTTATATTATATATATATATATATATATATATATATATATAAAGAACACATTTTTCTTAATTATACATACAATAATTATACACACACCTATATTATGTAAACACTAACTTTTATTATGGATGCGATTAATCGTTGCCCAGCACTAATAAAAATATAACTCTTCATTGTTTGTTCACGGCCATATCAGGTCTATTAAATAATATGAACAGATTCAACTTTTGATTTGAATAATGCATTGGTAAATGTTGAAATTAACTTTAACTAAGATTAATACATGCTTTGGAAGTATTTTTCATTGTAATTTCTTGTTAACTAATGCAACCTTACTTTAAAGTGTTACCAAATTTCAATTTATTCCCTGACTTAACACACAAAACACGAGCCATAAATGGTATATTTTGGCAGAAAAGTGTCATAAAAGTACCAAAAGTATCATTGTATGGAAAAGAGCAGCATGAACATTATTCAAAATATCTCTGAAATTATGAGGGATTTAAACAACATGAGGCGAGTGAGTGATATTATAATCTATTCCTTTAAAGTGCCCTTTATTATGCGGTTTCAGATATTCCCTTTCATGCTGTTTGTGAATGTAAAAGGTCTGCAAAGTTTCAACAATCAAAGTGCAGATGAATAAAGTTATTGTCTCCTAAAAGAAAGAAGTGATTCTGAACTGAAACTAGTCGTCAGTAATTCAGTCTCACTTCCTAATGAACATACGTAGGTTTGTCACTAATTTGCATAATGCCCGTCTCTGGTCCTGATTGGCTGAGCAGCGTCTCTTAGCCCCGCCCTCAAACACTGTAGTGTATCTGAGACTGGAAGAGTTCGGCTCGTGTTGTTCGTGTCGAGAAGACGCTGTTTGATACGGTGAAACCCACGCCATCGTTACTGTTCGTATCACTGTATATCAAGAGCTGAGATTCAGTTATGATAATGAGCGTTCGGCTTCTGACCAATCACAGCAGAGCAGCTCTCAGAGAGGCGGGGCTTAGAGAGACTGAATCCTTGATCGAAGCGTTTCAGACACTGAGAGGAAAGAGCTGAAGCTGCAGTGGAGATTATGAGGACATTAGTGGTTATGACCTTGAATGCATGTAAATATATTGTAGGAGACGCCAAAACAACACGAGTAGCCTTTAAAATAGCATAATAGAGCACTTTAATGGAATATGAAAACGAGAATACCTTGTGACTTTCTTCTACTGGAAATGTAAGTGTTTTTTGACCTTAGATGCATTTAAACACTGTAGGAGACTCCACAAGTCTTATAATCTCAGTGACTGACCGATCCTGTCGTTCAGGCCGTTTCCTTCCACTCCTCCTGCGTTCTCTCCGTCCGTCGGCTCGTCCAGTTCACAGCGCTGGTCATCCATACGACTGCTCTGAAACTTACTCAACAGGTCGAAGAAGCAGTCTTCATCTGACGGGTCGCGGACCAGTTTCTGCAGGAGAGACATCAGAACATCACCATTAAAACCACTGAGAGTGTGTGTGTTTGTGTGGTGTTCATCTGACGGGTCACGGCCCAGTTTTTGCAGGAGAGACATCAGAACATCACCATTAAAACCACTGAGAGTGTGTGTGTGTGTGTGTTTGTGTGGTGTTCATCTGACGGGTCACGGCCCAGTTTTTGCAGGAGAGACATCAGAACATCACCATTAAAACCACTGAGAGTGTGTGTGTGTGTGTGTGTGTGTGTGTGTGTGTGTGTGTGTGTGTGTGTGTGTGTGTGTGTGTGTGGTGTTCATCTGACGGGTCACGGCCCAGTTTTTGCAGGAGAGACATCAGAACATCACCATTAAAACCACTGAGAGTGTGTGTGTGTGTGTGTGTGGTGTTCATCTGACGGGTCACGGCCCAGTTTCTGCAGGAGAGACATCAGAACATCACCATTAAAACCACTGAGAGTGTGTGTGTGTGTGTGTGTGTGTGTGTGTGTGGTGTTCATCTGACGGGTCACGGCCCAGTTTCTGCAGGACAAACATCAGAACATCACCATTAAAACCACTGAGAGTGTGTGTGTGTGTGTGTGTGTGTGTGTGGTGTTCATCTGACGGGTCACGGCCCAGTTTCTGCAGGAGAGACATCAGAACATCACCATTAAAACCACTGAGAGTGTGTGTGTGTGTGTGTGTGTGTGTGTGTGTGTGTGTGTGGTGTGCATCTGACGGGTCACGGCCCAGTTTCTGCAGGACAAACACACCAGAACATCACCATTAAAACCACTGAGAGTGTGTGTGTGTGTGTGTGTGTGTGTGTGTGTGTGTGGTGTGCATCTGACGGGTCACGGCCCAGTTTCTGCAGGACAAACATCAGAACATCACCATTAAAACCACTGAGAGTGTGTGTGTGTGTGTGTGTGTGTGGTGTGCATCTGACGGGTCACGGCCCAGTTTCTGCAGGACAAAC